AATACATAGAGATAGAAAAATATATATATATATATATATATATATATATATATATATATATATATATATATGCAATTAATTCCACGTTCTGCTCAGAAAAATATCAGATTTAAATAAAAGTATTACATTTATTATTATATAATTTATTATTATTATGAATGTTACTGGTATCATTTTGTAAGATTCATTATTTTACATTATGCAAAATTCGAAAACTTTTTCATTTGTAATCTTTCATTATCTAATGGCATTTTGTTTTCCAATCAATTCACCAGAATTAAAAAATTTAAATAAACATATTTTTTTCTCAATGAATTCCAAGTTCTGTTCTGAAAAAAAAAATCTGATAATATAAAATGAATAGGATATGAGTACTCAGCTTTTTGTGTAAGTTAACATGAAATCAAATTCCTGTGTGCTGTTTTAATGTTGTGCAAGATTCGTAGCTTGAAATGTTCCAATCAAATTGATTCATCATTGCACATTATGCAAATAAAAAAAAAACAATTCCATTTGTAATCTTTCATTATCTAACTAACTCCATTTTGGTGTGTTCCAATCAATTCAGCAGATATAAAAATGTCAATAAAAAAATCCACGATTAATTGTGAGCCTGGGAGAGCAAACATAGAGAGCATAATGGTCTGGTTAATACAAAAACGGTTCCAAAAGGTTCCAAAATTAAGATCGCGAGTGTAGCATCTTAGTGGAAATCATTAATGTTGTGTATTTTTAGGAACAGTTCTGCTCTTTTCAAACCTATTACACATCGTACATGCCTGTAAAATCTAGTTTACAAGCTGCTAAAGTGAGCCGGAGGTTTAACAGCCGTCACGTCCGAGCGAACTCAAGCCGTGTAATGGTGTCGGCGCACCTTCACTAATTGTGTAGGTAAGTGTGAAGAGTTTTGCCCTGTGTGATGTAAGGTGGCTGATCCGGAGGTCTGCTCTGGTGATGTAACTGCTGTTTTACACTGAACTCTGGGAGGATAATGACTCTCCTATGATACACACTGTCAGCGACTCAATGCACTCTGGGTAATCATTTTTAGCTGGGGCATCTGTACCATCTCCCTTACAGTTTTAATATTTCGAACTCTCTCTCTTTGTCTCCTGCTCTTTTATTTGCAGACATCAGTGAGACGCCAGAGTCCATAAAATGCAACACGGGGGCCGTCTGAGCAGAGAGAGGTCGCTTCAGTGAGCATATAATACCTCCAGGAGAAAAAAAAAAAGCATATGTCGTCAAGCAAAAAAAGTGAGATTTATTGAGTGAGGTGAGAATGGAAGAGCGTTTGGTGAAATGAATACATGATGTCATGTCCATTTCACAGGCAAATTGGTTGCAATCTTCTTTAATCCCGGTAAATGCCTGGGATGTCTTATCTAATCGTTTGATTGCTTATAGATAAAACGAAAAATGACTGTGGTAAAGCCAAATATTTTATCGAAAATCATTTCCTTATTTAATATGGCCCGAGGGAAACATAATCATATAAAAACATTACTGTTTGTATTTGTAGTAGTTTACTGCAAATAATGAGGGCAATTTCTCTCTTAAATACTTGAATTGTTGCCTTTTCTTTACTTAAATAATAATGATATTTATCCTTATAAAATCTCTTTCATATTTTAATTGTAAATCTGGTGGCAAAACATCAAAAACAGGTACATTTCATTAAGTATGCTATTAAAAAGTATTTGCCTCTAGGGCTTTTATGCAGATAAAAGTTAACTATTTTATAAATGGCTCATAATGCCATTAGGATTTGGGAGCCCTGTACATAACATATATACTTGAAGCTAAAAAAAAATGTTAAGTGCAACATATAAGCAGAAGTTGTCCACACACACATAAATGCACAAACACGTATGCACTCACACTAGGGCTGTGCGATTAATCGAAATCGTCATAAAATCGCGATTTGAGCTTGCGCGATTTCTAAATCGCTTTATAGCACGATTTTCCGCTTTCTGATTTTTGGCTAGATTTAAAACAAGGAAAAGTGCACTTTTAGCTAAACAAGGCAATAATAGATGGCACTCGTGGTGGTAGTTAAGCAAAGTTATATTTATTGAGTTTAAACGTGAATATGTCTATGAAAGATCGTGTTCCTGTACTGTGATAAAAGAGAATCACTGTGCTGAAAAAGCATTTTCAGAAACAACGTTTGGATTTGAAATCAAAATAATGGATAAATGTTGTGTTTGTGGATCCGGAGAAGACTGCAAACGGTTCCTGTGCGAAAGCAAAATGAGTCCGTGCTGCTCCTGCACCGCATACACATACTGTATACGCACTGCAGACGGAGTACGTGTCAACTTGGCGCAACAAATCTAGTTCAACATCTGAGGCAACGCCACAAAGGGCTCTATGACCAATGCTGCCATGTCTATTCTAGAGACATTTTGTTACACCTTTACTTAGTGATTATTTTGCCTTATGTCTGTTCTAGAGACATGTTACACTGCAAACGGTTCCTGTGCGAAAGCAAAATGAGTCCGTGCTGCTCCTGCACCGCATACACATACTGTATACGCACTGCAGACGGAGTACGTGTCAACTTGGCGCAACAAATCTAGTTCAACATCTGAGGCAACGCCACAAAGAGCTCTATGACCAATGCATGGCAAAAAAAAATCCCTGGATTTTTTTTCCCCTGCCATGTCTATTCTAGAGACATTTTGTTACACCTTTACTTAGTGATTATTTTGCCTTATGTCTGTTCTAGAGACATGTTACAGCTTTTTGATAAAGCTCTAATTGGTTTTCTTTTGGAGATATGTTTCAAATGCACACTGAATGCATTCATGACTGTAAAGCATGTCTTTGTGTGTCAAAATCGCGATTAAAATCGAAATCGCAAAATTGATAAACAAAATCGCGACAGGTTTTTTTTGTCCATATCGCACAGCCCTACCTCACACTCACATGTAAGTCAGGATGATCTCATTGCTATCAATGCAACACGTTCAGGCATGACATCCCTTCTGGCTCATCTCTCTGTCTTTCTTTCTTGCCCTCCCTTTTCTTTCTTTAAAATCAATCCCAACAATCGCATTGTAATGTCTATCAATCAGTTTTAATCTATGCAGTGCCCTGACACTGTGCCATCATGTTCTGTATAATTATTATATTAATTATATCATGCTATTACCATATTTTTTCATGAAATGGAAACTCTTGAACATTTGCTTCTCTCACATTTGCAGCAAATGCATCCTGTTAGACTTAAGTCTCTGATCCACATTTAGACTGGTAATAAGACAATCAATACGTTTCTTAATTGGATCTTAGATCCCTGTTAATTAACGAACTTACTTGAATGAGTCAATGAGATTTTCCTGAGGCCTTATTATTATGATGCCATACCCTGCACACATTTTGGGAAATGTAGTGTGAAAATTGTTGTCTAAAAAAAGATGCAACATTTTATTTGTCCTAAAAATATCTGTGTCAGTTTGTTGTTCCATTTCCTTGTCATGACATGCTGGGTATCAGGAAATCTTTTGCTTTGAGTTCAGCACCTCGACTTCGTTGTTGTGAACGAAGTGTCAAGTTTTCATTACTCACGATAAAGCTGTGAAGCTCGTGCTTTCCCCCGACCGACGGCCAGAAAACAGTAGCAAACGTTAAGCTCTTGATTGCGCTCTTTCAGTCCTGTCTTATTTTCCTTGAATGATTGGATTCCAGAGAGATGATTTAATTTGGCACTTGATGTGCATTCGAACTCTCTGTAACACGGTACACTGTGTTTTGGTTGGGCCATGTGGTGACAGATTTAATGCTTCATCACTCATTTGAGTTTTTATCTCTCAATATCTATTAAACCTATCCAGCAAGTTGGAAGAACAGGGGGAAAAAATACATAAGGTAGAGCTCAGCCTCTGCAAGTGAATGGAAAGAGTTTCT